ACTCAGTAACGGTGAACTCCCGGACTCAAAGTGATCTCAAAGAGACCTAATCATAATACCTTTCAAATTCGTTTATTAATTGATTATCTTTATTTACAAACATTGTTTTACTGATTATCATTAATTGGTTATCTTTATTACAAACATTGTTTACTGATTATCATTCGGATTTATTTCGTTAATTATCATTAATTAATTTTATTGATTAAATCGTTATAAATTCCTTATTACAAATTTTTCGAAGGGTTTACGGAAAATGTATTTTTTTTTCCTGTTTGATTAGGTGTCTACAGTCCAGCAGTGGGACAGGGGATTGTATGGATATTGCTTGATTGTTCTACCCCTGTTCCCACTCTCCCTAACCCCCGTGTTCTGTGATTACCGGGACTTCTCAAGTACCGCATCGGTTCAGACTGATGTCGACGGAACAGGACACCGGGGCACTGCCACGACGCAGTGCCAGAATTGCAGTTCGTGCCCGCCCTGCAGTACCTCCAAGACCGAAGAAACTCAGCAGGCGGACGACTCCAGCAGCATCAAGTACGGCATTGACGGACGCCACCGGAGATCATCCCGCATACCCAGTCCGAGGAGCCAATGAGCCAGCGGCTGATTATCGTGGGCGGCTACTGGCATTTATGGAAGCCGTAGCTGCCGTCGAGGCCCGGAAGGAGACAGCAGAGGCAGAACGTCAGCGGCTAGCCAATGAAGCGGCAACCGAAACTCAGCGAACGACTGAGACTGACGCAGAGATACGAGACAGACGGAATGCCAGCAGCACGGAGTCCTTGATTGCTTGTGAGCATCAGTGGACGACGATACTCCAAGACATGATCTTTGTGCCTACGGAAGCACAGGCAGACCCGACACCGGCGGAGGCAGAGAGAAGTAACGTGGCTAACTTGCTGCTGGGCATGATGAGAGGTATTATGTGGAATAATACACTGCTGCATTCACATCTGCGCACGGACGCGACGCAGCGACAAACATACAAGAACGATATGACTGCGTTAACAACTGCTATCCGCACAGAGGCAACGCAGCAGCATCAACAGCATCATCTGTTGAATTCCACTATCACACGCGTCAACAACATAGAGGCTAACGCCTCAGCAGCGCCAGGCTGCACGACAGACGTGACGAAGCAACTCAACGAGCGCATCGATCACGTCGTCACCATCATCGGCGACATAAGTACTTTCAACGGACCAGACTCGATCAGCAGCACGGTGGTCGCCATCAAGACGGACATCACGAAGCTACAGACGAGACCGGAAGCCGCAACAAAGACGTTCAAGATGCCGCACTTCGACATCAGCAAGTTCGACGATTACAACAAGTCGGACGCCTTGTCATGGTGGCAACGCTTCCTCACGGAAGCATCATGCCGCATGGTCCCGACAGACGACCTGTTGAAGGCACTATATCTGCAGCTGATTGGAGGAGCGCAGGGATGGATGAACCACCTAGCGGCTACACACAAGTGCACTATCGCCGAACTCCACACGCACATTACGTGGAAGGAGTTTGAGCAGCTATGGTTCACCCGGTTCATGGTCCGCAACATCGTGAAGGCGACCATGAATGAGGTGTACACATGCTCTCAAGGGAACATGCCAACTCGAGACTGGACAACGAAGTGGCAAAAGATAGTGACCACAGCAGGCTTCGACTTGACGTTTCCAAATCAACGATCCGAGTTCTTCTCGCGATTGTGCGCGGGATTGCGGTCGGCACTCGGTAATGAGTACGACTATACCACATTCCAGGCCATTCTGGATCGAGCGAACTTGGTCATCCAAACGAACGACAAGGCCGCTAACGAGAGACAATCCCAGCCGCACTATGTGGCTAAGCAGGCCTATCAACGTTCGACACAACAATGCCGTGTTTTCTGAGGAAATCGACGACCACCACGCTGCAGCAGCATCCTCGAGTGATGGAGGAATTGTCGCAGCGCTCCCGCCGAAGCATCCGAAGAGAGTTCGCAAGAACAAGGCGACACAAGGGACAGCGGTGACGGGAGCTGGGCAGCAGCCATGGACGGCTTATAAGATCACCAAGGAGGTCTATGACCTACGTCAGAAGTACGCATACTGCCTATGGTGCAACAGTGTAGTACATACTACCGCACAATGCCCAGACAAGGGCAAGGCACGCGTACCCCGTCCAACCAACTCGGGAAACTGAGTTACGCAAGGAGAGGGGCGGCGTCTCTCCTCACTCCGCCGGACCCGGTTGCCTTGCTAGCAATCGATGTCACTACCGGGGAACATCAGTTAGTCGCTGATCCTCGTGCTACGTACGAGGATTATGCCGCCCAGCTGGTACCACCATTAGACCAGCCAAGCCACGTGCACTTAGCTAGCGTATGCGCAACCTGTACACCGTCGGCAAGTGATCCGGTCAGTTCGCCACTGATTTCCGAGGACTCGACGGCGTGGTCAAGACTTGAGGAGCTTGACCCGCTCACGAGAGAGGACTTCGCCTGGATGCCTCTACCCTCGACCGGAACCTTGCCAAGGCCGCATTGCAACGCCTTGATGGCAAATCTACGCTTCTGCTTGCACACTACAGTACCAGCTCCGTTGACGGACGACGGGGTAGCGGTTGCCGATCTCCGCTCCTATCTTGTGAAGATCGACCGCGAGCACGCCACCCAAAGGTACGCCGAAACCGACGCACCTTTGCTCTATATTCGCATTCAAATCGGAAAGGCAACCTGTAGTGCCTTGATTGATTGCGGAGCGTCTCGCAACTTCATGAGTCAAGCCTTTATGGCCCGCGCAGGTCTTGGCCCGCGCRTTCGAAGRAAGACGCAACCTACGCAAGTTACACTCGCAGACGGCCACACGCAAAAGTCAATTGACCGATGCGTTGACGGCGTTCCGGTCTACTTTGCGCCACTTGCGTGCGAGCCGGTGTCTTTTGACATCCTCGACACCAAGTTCGACATGATTCTAGGCATCTCTTGGTTGCGTAGCGCCGATCATCCGGTGAACTTCCATGACCGAACCGTTCAC